AAAATATTAAGTGAAATTCTACGTGACTTCATAATAGTTGGAAATGAACACATTACACCCGACCCTACACTCCATATACAATGTAAACTACACCCCAAAACATCCTTTCACCCACAGTTACTACCGTGTTTCACCAGTGTATTCTATTTGACGTCAGGAGAAATTGAAATAAACAAATCAATTATAATTTCAGCCTCTAGTTGACCACTGATTAAATAAACTACCTCGTCTTTATGTCAACTTGCAGTTATTCGTTGCCTACATCAGTGACTTCAAAATATGTTTCAATCCCAGGAATTTCACTCGCTGTTAATTGCATGCGGGAGTGCCAGTCTTTAATGAATTTCTATTGTCATGTCAATTTCTTGCGATTACTCGGAACATTAAGCTGTAACCACATGCCGCCTAGGTGCTGTAATTAAATCCTGGTGTAAGCACCATATGAACTATGAACAATGCATGTGAAGCCAGCTGTGGGGTATATTCAATCCTATAGATTTCTCATTGTTTGGTAACTATTTGCTGCAAATGCAACAAAAATCGATATAAAAAATATTACCCACACAGTATTCTACAGGTTACTTGTTATATTATTTATTCATTCAGTTTTGCATGGAGTTTTGTGAGGTTTATTATTTTTTCGCAAAGTTTTTTGTTTACTTGTTACGGTTTGGGGATTTCAGTTTATTTGATTTACGTTTTTACGGTAGCTCTGAGCGGGACTCACTGTCTTTTCAAGCTAATATTGTTTTATCTCGATGGCACGCTTGTGTACCATGCCACGACATTGATCGATGAGGGACTTCTCCAATGTACCAATGTACCGATGAGTTGAACGGGAAAGCCAAAACGATTGCTGATTTACGATTGCTTCGATTCTGGTGAGTGTGTATCTAGTGTGATTCGAACCCATGTCGTATGTATTGTGCATTTTTTTATTTCCCATGTTGGCTACGCCGTAATATGCAACCACTTCCCCGTTTTATTGCGATTTTGTGAGTGTTTAATGATGTCTTCCTCGCCCGTCACGCCATGACCCAGTTTCAACCACACTGCCATTTTGCAACAAAGTGTGTGACCCTTGGCGTGACCCGACTGACTATATGATCGTTCTGTTCAACTGTTAAGCTAGGATTTATTACCGTTATTATCATTATATTGTCACGTGATTTGTTTTACCTTATGTGTAATGTCTTAAGTATTTTCATTTGTATATACCAATTCGTATATGCCGAGGAAACGACCCCGATTGGAGGTCATGTATTTTGTGACGTCACCAATTCGTGTGTATGTACGGCTTCTAGAAATGTGCCCAAATAGTTATTAATATATACAATAATTTTGTCTGAAACCAAATGGAAATTTTTGATGGGATATCTGTTATTCTCCATAAATGCTAGAGTTCAGGATTTTGTAAACATTTTATCTAAACTGTTGTAGACTGCAATTCTTGCATGCAGCGATATTTATTTGAATTTTCATTAAAATTAAGTAATAATAATTTGTTATTATTGACACGTACCTGGCTCCTTTACTAGCAGCACCCTTTTGGTTATAGTTAATCGTGAAAATCTGTACATTTTCACGCAAATGTAGTTTTCCTTGCTTTAAATACTGTATTGTTCGACGGATGGGATCCCTCCCTCGCATCGGCATTGTGCACAATTCTGTTCACACCCCAAACGTTAAACACATGGCAGTACGCCGTCCAGCTGATTGCAGTCAATATAGCGCCCTCTGCGTTGTAAATGTTTAGGGAATCATTGTACATGATGTGTATTATAAAAAAGATGAATATAAGAAATTTTACCAAAACTTTAATGCAAATATAATATCACAACTCATAATCTGTGATTACTGTTTATAAGATTGTACGCTCCATTCATAGTATTTCTATCTCACCGGAAGTTACATCATGAACAAAATGGCCGCGTCCACAAGATTACTCGCGGCGTGTGTTTCCGTAGTTATTTTGGGGTTTGCTGGTGTTGTGTACTGGTTTTCACCATTGATTAATGGCAGCGACAAAAGAAAAAAACTCTCTAAGTCTCAATATGAGAAATTTAGTAAAGGTAGGCGTGTTTATGTCAGAGGTCTGGAGAAACAATCATAATTACGATTTCCATATTTTGAATTTGTCTGTAAGAAACCCTAAATTGTAGTCAACGCATGTATGTATGGGTTAAGGTAATTCAAGAATAAGCGAATCAAAACTCAGATGAAATGTGGATTCCAAAAATTAACATGTTGCAGGCAAATTCCTGGCAAACAGTGGCGGATGTGCCATAATTGACAGCAATAAAAACTAGAACAGTAAGTTTTGAAAAGCAATTGCTGAACCTCAGTGCTACAGTTCACAAATTTTCGCAACAAGAGATTAGCACGAACACAAAACAAACGTCTCTGGTGATCAATGTCAATATTGTCTTTAAGATCGTAAGTAATTTTGTGACCGAGGTAGTTAAACAATTCAACAAATTCTAATTTATGACTACATAGATAAACCGGTGGTATATTACTCAGTTTATGACGACTTGGAAAACACATACACTTTGTTTTCTTAGTGTTATAAATAATATCATGATCATTAGCATATAGCTCAAATGTATGCAAAAGTTTGTGCAAGCTTTTGATAGAGGGCGCAATGAGGCACATGTCGTGAGCAGCGCTTAAATTATTTACAGTTTTAGCACCAACCTGACAACCACATACATGTACATGTTTTTTTGTACAAGCTTATTTAATTCACGACCTAAGCCATCTACATAAAGGTTGAACAGGGTCAGGGACATAATACCTCCTTGACGAACTCCGTTAGTGACCTCAAAAAAACGTGACAGGTTGTTTCCCCATCTAACACAGTAATGTTGGTGTCGATACCAGTTCACTAACAGCCGAGTAATATATGGGGGGATTTTACGGTGCACAAGTTTTTTAAATAATGTCCAATGGTTTACTCTATCGAAGGCCTTGGAAGCATCAAGAAAATACACAAACATATTACTTCCCATGGTGTTGTAATGACGAATTATTTCTTTGAGAACAAGAATAGACAAATCAGTTGAGTGTTTCTTTTTAAAACCAAATTGGTTGTCTATAGTTTCAATGTAGGATTCACACCTCACCAGCAGTACGTGCTCCAAGACTTTCGACAACACTGATGTTATTGCTATTGGACGATAATTGTTCGGGCTGGTGACGTCACCGTTCTTGCTCTTAATTATTGGCACTAAAATTACATCTGTCATATGTTGCGGAGTAGTTCCATGAATTAAAATCCCTGTAATACACATGGACAAGTGTACACTCAGTGTAGGGCTGGCGTATTTCAAATTCTCGGCACAGATCCCGTCGGTACCGCCCGATTTCTCAGGAGGTAGTTTCTTTATTATGTCGTTAATTCCTGAGCTAAATACATGTATAATATCCTTATCCAGATTATTAAGATGGTCCAGCACTTTAGTTTTATGTTTATTGAACTTAACAGAGTTCAGTATACATTCAAAGTGGTCAGCCCACATATTTACAATATCAGATTCACCTGTCACACTACCAACCATGGATGGGAGGAATATGGCATGTTGGGTCATGATTTATTTCCTAAAAGAACGTTCATCTTTATTTAGCAGGTGATAAGCAATTATTTGTGACTGTGATCTTTTACAATTACGCATGGAGAGTATAAACTTCGCCTTCGATGACGTCATCATTTGAATAATATTACCCTGCCTCGGGTTTTCCTGCGGCACGCCACACCGAAAAACAGTCACGGGCCAAGGTGTGAGCATCCTTAACAATATCGTTCCATCCAGGTACTGGTTTAAAACACTTATAGGAGTTTGTATGTCTAAAAGTGATGTTCGTAGCTTTTTTAAGTGAATTTACAATGTCATGGTGATCTCCATTTTGACAGTTAATATCAGTACATGCCAATGCATCCACGGGAATATTAAGCCTTCTCATACAAAGTTCGCTATTATGGGTGTATTGCTGTATTTTATCAGTGATTATTTTTGACCAGCTGACATGCGTATTTCTATTAATATCATAGTTATTATTAGTTGTGGTTGTAACCATGTTCATAGCCCGACAGGTAATCGACATGGGCATATGATCAGACACAACATAGTCGAAACATATATTAATGTCTGTAATTGACTGATGCGCGCTTACAGTAGAGATACAATGATCTACCCAAGAGGTAGTTTTATGTGCTTCACTCAGGTACGTAAAATTATCATCAGAGTTACCGAGAAATTCAAGGTCAGAAATCAGTTACTCTTCCTCGTTACAAAGCTCGCATAGCTCATTACAATAACGTGAGTACTACCGCGGATCTGTATTCCAGTCCCCTATCACAAAGACGTTTGGAGTATCGACCTCCTGGATAATGCCATTTATTTTACTGAGGTAGTCAACATATTCGTCTTGGTTCTCAACACTGTTGGTCGGGAGGTACACACACACAAGATAAACAGTTTGCTATCCTCTTCAAAAGTAATTTCTGTGCCAAGAAGTCTGGGATCGTTCAGTGTAATCTTTAGCGAACTTCCTATTGTTTTTCTCCAAAGAATAGCTGTCCCTCCAAAGGGACTGTCCCAAGGGGATGTCAGTACTTGTGTCGACAGCAGAGACGCCATATGCATGGAATTCATTGTGAATAGTAGATAAAAATTCAAGATCATCCTTGACGAGCCAGTGTTCTTGTAAAAGACAAATGTCGTGCTTATCGCAGAGTTCCATGACAATCGGTCTACTATTTTTGACCGATCTACAGTTACAAGTTACAATTTTAAAATCTGACATAAAAAATGTATTCACGATGCGGATAATACTTGCATACTAAAACTCCTTCGGGCCAAGCACTTGCGTTCATGATTGGCTGAAAGTTGGATGCAGTTGTTGTTATGCAAAACGAGGCATAAGTGTCAAACTTAGTGTCTAAACGTTGGCATTCCACATTTCTAATGTTCATATTAGTAATATAATTTACAATCAGGTCAGTGGTGGTTTCCGGACCCAAGTCTGGAAATAAACATAAACATAAAGACAGGTCGACGTGATCAATATTTATAGGTGGTACATGTAGTTTGGAAAGATTTTTGGCAACAAAGCACGGAATGTGGATTGGGTCAATTTCTTCAAGCAAGTAAAGTATATCTTGTACATTGTTCATGGCTTTCTTATGCCCCTGTCTCCTGATCAAACGCCGGGAACTATATGCACCACACAGTTCAAATAAACGAATCTTAACATCGTCAACCTCAGAATCGTCAAAAGTTTCAACACACAGCTTCACAATTATATCGTTTGGTAGTATGTCCATCTTGTCGACAATAAAACAGAGCATTTCATTGATGATGGGAGTAGCATTACATAAAGTATCATTATGTTGAAAACACTCCAGCTCAGAAGGCTGGGTGTCACAAAGGACAGTACCGTCTTCACCACTCACAGATGCGTTAAATCTCTTATCTTTGCAAGAAGTACATCCAGATCTCCTTGAGCGAGAGAAACACCATCACGGGTACTACAGTCGTGGCAACGACTACGATTCATGATGTAGACTTAGATAATTAGAAAAGTATAGACAAGTCAAATGAGGAGCCAAAGCATAACACGTCTAACCAACATGGCGGCACAGATATGTCTACACTGAGTTACCTGTGATTTTATTTAAATCTATAATTATCACTTCATGCATTACGAGAAAGTTTGCATTTTATAGTAGCTCAACACAATTTTAAAATATTCTTGTACAGGCAATGGTTATAAGTAAAGTTGTCGTTGTTTTTGTTTTCTGGCAGTTTTGAGAGTTCTTGGTACCACAAGGCGACCATCTGTCGAGACTACTTTTTTTTCGGTTGGTTGACGGCCTTTCATGAACTTCCTGTATAATGTTTCTTTTTAGCTCCGCTGTCGACTTTGTCGAGCGGAGCTTATCATATGAGTGATTGTCCGTCGGCGTCCGTCGTCGTCGTCCGTCGTCCGTGTCAATGTTTTACTTTTTCGACTTCTTCTTGAAAACTACAAGCCTGAATGCTTTGATACTTGGTGTATATGTACCTTGGGTAGACCTCTCTTAGGTTTGTTCATTTCATGTTGATATCTTCAATTCTCTAATTTTGGTGAATATTTTTGTCATTTTTGGTAAAAAGTGATATTTTCGACTTCTTGTTAAAAACCAAAAGTTCATTTGCTTTGATATTACATATATAGATACTACATGTAGACCTTTCTCAGATTTGTTCATTTCGTGATGATATCTTCAATTCTCTAATTTTGGTGAATATTTTTGTCATTTTTGGTAAAAAGTGATATTTTCGACTTCTTGTTAAAAACCGCAAGTCCGATTGCTTTGATATTACATATATAGGTACTACACGGGGACCTCTCTCAGATTTGTTCATTTTGTGATGATATCTTCAATTCTCTAATTTTGGTGAATATTTTTGTCATTTTTGGTAGAAAGTCATATTTTCGACTTCTTGTTAAAAACTGCAAGTCCGATACTATACACATTGTTCATTTTCTAATGATGTCTTCTGTTCTTTAATTGAAATGTGCATTGCTAACAGCGGAGCTATCTCAGCCGACAGGCTGCTTGTTTAGCTCCGCTGTCGACTTTGTCGAGCGGAGCTTATATGAGTGATTGTCCGTCGTCGTCCGTGTCAATGTTTTACTTTTTCGACTTCTTCTTGAAAACTACAAGCCTGAATGCTTTGATACTTGGTGTATATGTACCTTGGGTAGACCTCTCTCAGATTTGTTCATTTCATGATCATATCTTCAATTCTCTAATTTTGGTGAATATTTTTGTCATTTTTGGTAAAAAATTATATTTTCGACTTCTTGTTAAAAACCGCAAGTCCAATTGCTTTGATATTACATATATAGGTACTACATGTGTTTCTCTCTCAGATTTGTTCATTTTGTAA